TCTGTCACACAGCATACCAGGGGTCCCCAAAGAGCCAGGGTCTTACGGTGTCAATGTCCCCCCAGTCCTCATCCCCAGCCCTAGCCTATTGTCATTCCTGTTTTTTAATTTCTCAAGCGCAATCAAGTGTGACACAAACTGTTTACCTAGCGTGTCTGCCACAACCAGGAAGAGAAAAGGAGGATGGAAAAAAAGCCCGGATCTCGGCACAAAATAATCCTCCATAATACCAGAGAGTTTAAAGAGGCTTTGCCAATATCTCCCCGAACCCCCCCTCCACCTCTCTTTGCTCTTATGAAAAAAAAGAGAGGGGAAGATAAAGAGGAAAAAGGGGAGGGGGTGGAACACATCAGAAGAAAGCTGTTAAATTCGCCCCTCAGTCTCGTTTGGGATTGCTAATTATTGTTTTTAGAGTACAACAATTGGGGTATTAGGGCATAAGCGGCTGGAGATAACATCCAGAGGAAGGCGAGGGGAGGGAAAGGGAAGAGGAGCATGGGGAAGAAAGATAATGGGTTGACAGAAGGGGAGCTACGATAGGGTCTAGTCCATGGCGGTGTCTCTGTCTTTCTGCGACAACACTCGACAGTAAAGAGACTGACTGACTCACTCTGTCTCCAAGGATCTTGAAAAGTGAAGGAAAAGTTTTGAATGTTGGACAGTTTATGAATTATAGAAAGGGAAGGAGAACAGAAGTTACCACATTCATCAGATGACGTCAACTTCTATATATAAGAAGTATCTGTGGCTGTCGCAGGACTGTAACAAGCATGTCTAATCATGGAATTCAGTCCTGAATATATTCATTGGCTGGCCTACCTGCCTACCTGCTCGCACTCTGCCCTTGCGCTCACTGCGCATGAAAATGTGTTTTAGGAAGTGGCTTAAGAGGGAGACCTGAAGGGAGGCGGTGGGATTTTTTGGTTGAATACTTTCAAAATCTAGCTACCTCAGCTTTAAATCTGCGATAATTTATATGTTTACATTAGGTTCTATTTGTAACTTTCAGAAAACCCTTATTATTAATGACGCCTGTGGCCGTTAACTGAACAGTAGTTAGCATCCTACTTGATATACAGATCAAAAGTAAGAGAGATCAACGACTTGTCTCAAATTCTTGACTGACATATTACGCAGCCATCTAGATTTATGGGAGCATCCAATTAAAACTGATCTAGCTGGAACAAAAAAACAACATCTCTCTCTTTCTGGAAAAATTCTGGACACTCAAATGTGGGAAGTTGTTACACATCCAGTGATGAACCTCTGAGAAGTAGTTCTCTACTTTCTAAAGCTGGTAGGGCTGTCACATTGGCTGTTAGAGGCAGATGGATGTGTGTCGTCGGCATAGGAATGAAATTTATGTTGCATCGTAATGTTTTTTGACGTGGCCAAGTGGCAGCGCACGCACAAAGAACAAAAGTGGTTCAAGTACTGATCCCTGTGGAGCTCCTTCTTTGAACAGGATGATACAGTATTATAAACAACACGTTGTGGTTTTGCCACTCAGATGTGACTCTACCTGTTTACCAGCAAGTTTATTGAATACATGGGCCACATGAGTATCCTGTTGGGTCTGTTGGCATTGGTAGACAAAGCTTATAAATGACACAATATCTCATCTAACACGACCATTTTGTTCCAGTAAAGAAAATACTTAAAGGAGAACATATCAAAGATACTGCATGGTATCTTATGAACACTAAAAGGCAGGTGATGGCTTGTGTCCCACAGGAGAGAAGAAAGCATCCTGGCACACACTCATACATGGTATGAAACACACACACACACACACACACACACATACTGGCTTTTATCCTGTGAATGAGCAGGCCAGCCAAAGTCATCTGGAAGCTTCCACATGCCAATGAATAAATAAAGCTGTAATTAGTAAAGAAAACAGCGCCACCTGTTGGTGTTCCACCCCTGTGAACTCAAACCATTATAGGGTGCTGTGGGAAACACCTGAGCATGCAAAGGCTGTGTGTTAAAGGGTTGGCACACGTGTACAATGAGTGTGTGTAAGAGAGAGGAAGTTTTGTCATGTGGGCCACCCGTGTAACCATGTGTGCTGTATGGCGTCCATTTGTAAAGAGGCTTACTGAGCATATGTGTTGGTATTGTGAGAGTGTGTGTGTGTGTGTGTGTGTGTGTGCTCCTCCGTGTACTGGTGTGTTTGTGAAGGGGTCCAACTGTGTGTCCTGGGGCCCACCTGGCAGCGCTGTGCAGATTCTAGGGCCTGAGCAGCTGGCCTGGGGGCTGGTGAGGGTGTTTGGTGGGGGGAGGTTTGAGAGGGGTGTGGGGGGGTCTTCCATGGCCCCTGTCCCACCAGACCCAGACAGTAGGAGGCAGATGGACAGGCCACAGCCACTGCCAGAGGGCCAGAGGGGCCACGGGGCTGAGGGAGAGGGCCAGCCAAGACCAAGTGAGCTCACACACGCACACACATAATAATAAATAGAAATTAAAACAAAAACACAAAACTGATTGAATTTTTAATGATCATTAAATGCTAGTTAAACAATTTCTTCCCTCATTTTTAAATTTCATTCAATTACATTTTAAAATTGATATGATATACAGAGAAATTCAGAACAGATCATAAGAACTACGATTGAAAGATATAGTTGCATTGTTTAAGATCTGTGGTGTGCAGTGCATTTCATTAGTTTTGTTGTAATTTGCATTTTTAGTGGCTCCACTAACCCTTAATGGAAAATACCATTTTGTTACAAGTTGGATCATATTTTCATAGTGTTGACTATCATTTATATGCTAAGTATTTGTTCACCAAAGTAATAGCAGAGCTCTGGGAATACACCAGCATTGCCAAAAAGACGTTTGACAGGGTAAGAAGCTTGAGCTGTCAGACAAACGCCCAGGTGAGGACAATGTTAACAGAAATGCCAGACATGTTGGCCAAACCCGCAAAAATAAGTTCCAAGTTTTAAAGAAAATGGAATTATCCTTTGACTTGCCTACTTCGGCTCGTGAGTCCCAACATTTCTCACAATTACTTTTGAAAGAAGGTCGAGAATAGCTGGGAATATACGGTATAGCCTTTATGACTAAATGAAAAAAAGTTGGTATCAGTACTTCTTCAACAACTGATTTGCCCTGTATGAGCTCTGAAAGGTGGCCCTTTCGTTTGATTCTTGTGGCACTGACGCCAAATCCTGATGTTCCTCACTGATGTTAGCCTATATTTTTTAGCCACACCAGAGACGTGGGCCATGATTCGGTCAACCAATTGGTCGGTCAGCCCATTAGTTTGGTTCAGACTGAAAATATCTACAATGTACAGACATTCATGGTCCCCAGATAATGGGAAAAAGAAAACGCTAATCACTTTGGTGAGCCTCTGCCCTTTCCTCTAGCGTCACCAATGAGTTAGACATTTATGTGTGTGAGTGAAATATCTCAACACCAATTGGATTGAAACAACTTTGGTGATGTCTTTGACGTTTTGTCTAGCACCATCATTAGTTTATAATTTAAATTTGTCCAATACTTAGGTTTATGGCTAAATCAGCCTCAGCTGTAGTTTGTGTTTGGTGCTTATTAGTAAATGTTACAATGTAACACACTAAACTAAGATGGTGAATATGGTAACTATTATACCTGCTAAACATCAGCATGTTAGCATTAAAACTGTGACCATGTCAGCACACTGAAGTTAGCTCAAAGCTCAAAGCACCGCTGTAGCCTAATTTAAACACTTAATTGGTATTCAAGACTGCACTACTGCACATGTATTAATGTGCACGACACACAGATGCTCATAAACATACATCCACTAATCATCAATCATTAAACCCTCTGAAGCTGATGCTAAACATGCAAAAGAAGAAAGATGTTTCCTTAAACCTCTGCCCCAAAACACCATACGGAGGAGTGTTTTAAACACAGTGATTTAAAGACAATATGTTAAGAGTGTGTGTGTAAGATTGACACACAGTTTATGGTGAACATGTATAGGTGGAGGTGGTGGTGGTGTGGGAGGTAGCCACCGGCTCCAGTAGTCCAGAGAGCCACAGATGCTCCACTGTTTGTGTGTTGACTCTCTGTAATTTGTTTGCTCTAATTTGTTTTGCCGTGCCAGGGGAGTTCCGATTTTAATTTTGCTCTGTGTGTGTTTACCCCTCTTTGTGGATCGCTGATCTGTTAAGCAGAGAGAAAGAGAGAGAGAGAGAGAGAGAGAGAGGGAGAGACAGTCAGTGTGGAGGGTGGGCTGTTCAGAGAGCCAAATTAAAAAAGGAGCAGTGCAGATTGTTTTAAGCTCTGGCAGCCCCTTCGGGCCCAAAGGCCTTGCTCACAGGCTGCACCTGCTCCGTCCCCCGGGAGCCTGGTTCCTGATCCGTGGCCCTCGCTTCTCATCCCCGGGCCCCTAGCCCAGCCGCCTCCTCATCTCATCTCATCTCCTCTTCTCCTCTCCTCTCCCTTCTGCAACCTCCATTCTCCTCCTCTATCTTCCTCTTAAAACTCTTGATACTCCTTTCCTCCTCCCCAGTGACTTCCCTCTTTCCCTTCACTCCTCAGTCCTGGCCTCTTCACCCCTTCTCTCCTCTCTACCACCTGCTCCTCTCCTCCTCTTTATCCTTCCTTCTCCTCTTGCTCCTGGTTACTTCCACCTTTTGTTTCGCCTCTTTGCCCTGGTTCAACTTCCTTCTAGCCCCCTAATTTTTCCCCCACCCCTGTTGTAACTTTTCCTCTTCCAGTTCCTGCTCCTCTCTGCTCCTGTCTCGCCTCCAGCGGCTGGCAGAGTCTTAATCAGCCCCCCTCCGCACCTGAATGATTGCGACTTGTTAGCCTGATTGAAAACACAGAAGTGCACACATAAAATTCAGTCAGAGTTATGACAACATAACACAATCTGTGGGCTATTATGATTACCAAACTACAGTGCAGAACTCAATAAAACAGCATCATGACATCAACACCCTTTTATTAACCTGAGACACGTGATAAGTTAGTAAATTAAACTCACAACGATGGCCTGATTCAAATTGTCACAGCTATTCTTTATTGAAATCATCCACTCGCTCCAGTTTGTGACTGCACTTCCATAGTTAGTTTGATCAGTCAGTCAGCTCCACATACAGTATGGTACACTTTGTCACACATACAATATTTACATTACCCCAGCAGTAATGTTATGACACGGTTCCAACAACAAGACATTTAATTTTAATATGGCTTGATTAAAGCAGTCCAACTGTATATGATGTCCAGCCTGGATGAGGTGACTGCAAAGTACACAACCCAGGCCAGGATGCGAACCCCAGGACGACACGATGGAAGAAGGTTGTCTCTAGAGTCCCAGTATCTGGATCAAACTCCGGCCTTCTGTCACTAACTCACCTATAGTCAGGCTTCTCATTTGAAGGGTCACTTCATCCAAACTGCAAAAAAACACATCTTCACATATTTTATTACCCCAAGGTGTTTGTGGTGCTCAGAGCATTGACAAATTATATTTAAAGCTGCATTAACTGACTTTTTGACCACTTGGGGGCTGCAGAAACAAGATGTAAACACTGATATATTATGTAGCAAGCATGTTAGCAAACAGTTGCTTGTCTACACATCTAGCAGACACGGAGGAACAGTGGTATTCATCTGGAGCCATGTTTCTGGTCCTGCTTTTTGCCATCCACCATCTCCTGAGGGAAGTATCTGTCCGTTAAGCAGCTAAATGTTCCAGCATGTTCACCAGCTACAAACACCAGCTGTAAATTTGTGTGTTTGCTGTTTGGTGCTGGGCAGGTAGGGTACAGTGGGTTTATCAAAGCGTTTTTAATGAAAACAGCTGCCTGCTGCATTAAAAAATTAGAGCTGATGAGAGGTAATTCTCTATGGAATCGAAAAAAGCATGTCCAGAGAGGCTGCTGGGGCTAAAGCTGTCCCTTTCAAATTTAAACCACCATTTGACAGGAAAAGCATTTTGGATTTAACACCATACACGGAAAAATCATGGATAAAGGTAAGTCTGTTAATTACCTTGCAGTAACATTGTCACAACAACACATCCAAAGTCCCTGTTAGCGCAACATTTATGTGAGTGGAGGCACCGCGAATAAACATAACATGAAACGTTTAGGATTATGCTATGTGTACAATTTATTTTAGCTATCATTAGCTTGAACTTGATTTTATTTGAAAAAGTGATATTACAGTTTTCACTGGAGTTAATTTTAACCAAAGAAATAGCCCTTGTGAAAACTGTTGACAGTGTGTCCTGTGTCCTGTACTGAAACAGGAACTGGATGGATTTTAAATTTTTGATGTCTGTTTTTAATACTATGAGCACCACAAACAAAATTCCATCCCTCTTTATTGTATTGAGGCAGAGGTAGAAATCTTACAGATATATAAATATATCTGCATTTACATGTATATCGGAAACCTGGAAAAATAAAACCAAAGCTATCTGCATGGCTCAATAACGCTCTTTCTTTTGTAATTTGGGTGAACTGACCCCTAAGTCACATCTACTCTATACGTACCAATATCTTTTTACAGCCATCGTATTGCCATTACGAGCACTTCCACCAAGCTAAATGTGAAAAAAAAGCAAACACTTCCCAACACGTATTGGTCCATTTTACAGCCATGATTTTTAAACTAACAATGTTCAGTTCTGTTGATTTGGTATTCTGTCTCTCCAAAGACCCTTCATCAAATGCTTCATTGATGACATTCACACCCAGTAAAATTCATACACACAATGCCAACATAAGCTGCACAGTCCCCTCGCAGCACAATCAGAACACTCAGCGTCCTGTACTACTGATATACACTTTTATGTTTTCCATTCATTTGTCCTATCCTCTATCACTATAGCAGAAAGCTCCCATTGAAATAAGGTGAAAATTAATTTCCATTAGTGCAAAATAACATCTCTCTTTGAGAGCAATAACAAAACATAGATTAACAAAATATATATATTTGACACATTAGATCATATAGACAGAATAATAAAGTGGCACTGATAATAAATTATATCACAACAAAAACTGTCACAGACTATTTTCACCAATTGCTTTAGTCTGAGAGAACTAAGGCTGATTTGTTGCAGTATGCAAGTATGCAGGCATACGCACATCACACCTACACACACACACACCTATGAATGGGAACCACAATATTAAAGTTTAGGACTGAAGGAGAAATCATTTGCTGTGTTAAATAGACTGCAGGTCCTCAGGGTGGAATGACCTTGATGTTACAGAATAAAGGACGCATAAGGCTGACTGCTGACTCCATCTAGTGGTCAAATGTACAATTTACAGCTCTATACATTAACAACAAAGTGCAAGCAAATAAGGATGATAAACGGTAAATGAAACAGGCACATATCTGCTCATTTTCCTTCTGACTTATATACCATCGGCCTACATCTGGGGTTGCGGTCTGATGACACATACATTATGTTTTGATACAGGTTCTTCCCACATACAGTAGCATAAAGGACATGACATGAGGATCAATCTAGGGCATAGACTGGCACTCAGTGTCATCTGTGTTTCCTCTCCAGCACACTGATGGTTAACAGCTGAGACACAGCAGCTGTTCCTTTTAGCCACATGATCAATCTCCACCCGTTCAAATGGGTTTGTGCATTAAGACACACGGCAGAGTGGTGATTAGTTGCATCGTTTCATAGCAAGTGAAGTGCCACCTGTCTTGTCTACAGCACTCTTCTGTCGTCTCCGCACTTTTCATGAGATGTTTCCTTTGTGTTAACCTTTCACACCAGCTTCCGCATCTTGGGACAAGACAAATAAGGCAAAGAGAAACTGCCACAGGGACAGTTTTGACACTACAGCAGGGGATAAACCATACAATAGCATGTGTATTAAGAGATTCCATTTGTATGCTCTGCATAATAATACCCAGTCCGTCCATCTGGAAGGTATATCATTTGGGGTATTAAGAGGTGGAGGAGCTGGAATAGTTTCTTCAGCTGTGAGAGTTGTTGTCTGACAACATGTTCAGGTTGCCAGATTTTTCAGGCTAACCAACACAATTCCAGCCTCCTGTCAGTCTCAATCTGAGAGCCAATCACAGCTATTGTCAGGTCAAACCTCCAGGTCAGGCATTAACTCCTCCTTAAGATGAATGTCATTGTCAGATCCCGTTCCCACATCTGAGTCAAAGAGCGAGCGGTCGGAGTCCGGGGAGTGCGTGTGCGTGTGTCCGGCAGACTGGCCGCTGGTGTCGCTGTCGTCCAGAGTGTCAGTCCTGGAGAAGAGGCCAAAGTCCAGCAGGCCTGTAGGGGAGCCGTCGTTGCTGCTCTCACTGTCTCCGTCATAATAAAGATCCTCCACCTCCACAAACCACTCGGGCCAGAACCTCCTCCGCATCCGCTCGCAGAACATGGCCAGGTTGATCAATTCTCCTGTAAAAGACATTAGACATGGCAAGTTCACATGCACAAGCTTTTAAAGGTACAGTTAAAGCCAGCAGGAGGTATCACTGGTGCTTGCTGACATTTTGAGTTTGATACAGATGAATCCAATACATCTGGGATACTTTGTGAGACATATTTTGTTTAATCTCTTCACTATGAGCCCTTTCATCATAGATTATGTATCAATACGACAACACAGAATCTTCATTTGGGACATTAGGAGCTCTGATTTTGCTCTCTGAAAAGATAAGAGACCCAAGTGTTCCCTACTGCGTGCAAGATGTGAAAGCAACAATCAAAGCCTGTGTCAGCAGCACTTTATGGCAGTAGAATATCACTGCCATCTAGTGGCTAGAACAGAAAAATACATGTATGACAAACCAGCAAGGAAAACAGGGTAATAATAAAGCTCAAACTAAAGCAACATTATCTACAGTGATTATTTAAGGATTTAATTTATTCATTCAATCAATTTAGTTCACTGTTATCTTCTGTTCCACTCATGTCTGATCCACTGACCTTTGATGAGTTGCTCTGGTCGTGTCCCAGGCAGAGTCCACATAGCCTGGGCTAGATGTCCAAACACTGTAGCATCTAATGTTGACATTTTAGAGCCCATAAAGTACTTCTTATCTCCTACATGACAGAGAAGAAACAGTAATTTGAATAATTTGTTTTTATTTATTGGTCGTTTTTTTTATCTTTTAAGATATTGTTCTAAAATAATAAAACAACATAGAAATAAACACACTAATGATGGTTAACTGGCAATAGCAACCCTATATTTGTGATCAAAAAACAAACACGTGACTGTCAGGTGAAAGTGGGAGTTATGTGCTATGCAGTCTATTGAAGCTGGCTGAATTACTGGTCAGTATCACACCAATTGTATAGTTATATAACACAAATATAAGGATATAGTTTTTTTAATCAAATCATAATTTCTATTTTCTCAAATTAGTTGAGCTTCTACACAATACATCTATGCCCTCATTTACTTAGTAAGAAGTTGTCTGTTTTCTTTGTAGCAGAAGAAAAGGTCAATCTATTGAAATAATTCAGTTCCTTCTGAAGAGACTGATCTCCTCCAACAAGTATCTCACATTACCCCCAACATTGAAATCTGTCATAGAAACGTAGCCAATGTACATGAAACAAAGGGGAACTGATTTACTATAGTAAGGCCAAGTACAAATAGTTGATATTAAGTCTTTGTGGCCTTAAATATGATTTATGCTCAATCAGTGATCTTCTCTACACTTCAAAATAAACAGATTTCCTCTTAAAGCTGGAAGAGCTGCACTTCCTGTTCAGCAACAGCAGATTTTAGATTCACACTTTGGCATTTGAGGATGAAACAGCAAAACATTAAAAGAGAAGCAGCGTGTTAGCAGAGTGCACTGATGCTTCCACTCTAGGAAAACCTTCCATTTTACAACAAGTGGCCATCCGTTGAAATGGCACAAACAGATCGATGCAAATTACGTTTCTTTCCAGCATTTGACTCTTTGTTTCCATCTGAACACTCTGATATTGTATCCCTGTGGCTGACGTCCAGAACTTTCCCTCTTCTCATTCATCCCTTCTATAGCTCACTAAGTACAAACACGGATGCCGGGACAGATACTGCATATTTTGTATTGGCACATATGGAAAGCACATACATGAATACATCTTTGGGATGTTTTCTGCAAGGAAATTAAATACATTTACATGCTACATAATTCTAGGACACACGTTTATTATCGGTTGATATTTTAAAAGTTGCCTTTTCTTCCCAGGATACGTCACTGTGCATATGTGTTCTGAAATAGCTGGTCAGGGTCTATAAGTCATTAATGCTAATGCTTCATTAGGCCATTTAAGCCAGCCAGAAAAATTGTCACATTTAATCCACCAACCTGAACAATTTGAGACTATCCAGTGCTTTTAGAAACAAAAAAGAATTCTTCCTGCTAATGGCTAGGGATTTGTAGTAACAAATAATGGGTAATGGTTAGTAATATCCCAAATATAAAATCTTGTTATTCTGTAGATTACATGAGTGTAATATACTGTAAATGCTCCGTATTTGTATAGCGCCTTTCTAGTCTTTTCGACCACTCAAAGCCACCCCTATATACATAGGTTACTGCTCATAAATCATGAGGTAAGTGGTAGTCCTAATGGAAAACATATTAATGGCAAAGGTTTAGAGAAGAGCCATAAGAATGCTTATCCACACACACATACAATCCTCTTCCTACCCAGCAGTGTGGCCAGCGTCCTCATGTCTTTCTCCATCAGTGTGTAGACCTCCTCTTTAGAGAAGCGTCCGATGCCGTGCCCATACATCTCCCTGCGCACCATGCTGCCGTTCAGGTGACCCAGGAGCCACTTCAGCGTGTCGCTCAGAGGGCCGCTCATCGCCAGAAGCTTCTGAGTTTCCTCCAGGTTGTCCACCCACTGACAGTAGGCTATCGTCCTGAAAGAACACACGCAGCATGTTATCACTGGTTCCCTAATTGTGTCAGAGCAGGATTGTCCATTGATCACAGGGTTGGCAGTTCGATCCCCACCTCTTCCTGTCCACATATCAAAGTGTCCTTGGGCAAGACACTGATGGCTGGCCCCTGTGTGGTGTTGCCATCAGTGTGTGAGTGTGTTGCTAGCGAGCTAGGAAAAACTTTGAAAAGCACTTTACTACTCAGTACTCAGTCATTTTGTAAAACAAGCGAGTTATATGTAATTTTTCAATATCATCAACATATGATAATTCCATGATACCAAAAGCAATTCCATACACCAGAACTGCAATTCCTTATCAGCATTTGCGGTTCTGAAAATAAGGAAGCGACTGAGTTCAACCTGACCGGCAGGGTGTACAGTAGTGGCAACAATAAGACCTTTTCATTGGAGATTTAGCACTTCTGTCCTGTTTCCAACAAAGCTTTATGTCTATTGGCAATTAACCTCGTCCCAATCAATAAGGGAACAACCACATACAGCATGTCCCGCTGCCCATTTATCAGCTGTACTGCTCTCGACTCGCTGCCAGAAGACAACATGAAATATTCAGCCCTTCAAACTGTCAGCTCGGAGTCGGTCGTTGTCTCTCACATAGAAATAGGATGGTGGAGAAAAGATGACATATGCACACAAGAAATTCCATTACAGATTTGGATTTGAACTGTTGGACGACAAACACTCACTTACTGCTGCATTGCACAGTCTCTTTATTGAGTCATTCAGATACCCTCTTGCTTGTGTAAAAAAAGGAAACCTGGGCAGCTACATGAGCCATCATGATGTCAAGTAGAGATTTGTCTTACAAAAGTAGACAGATCCTGTGTGCAAACAAGCCTGACTCAAAGCCTCTAAATCCCTCTCTAACTCTGCTTCTCTTCATCTGCATCTCCTCCTCTGTGACCATTATAGATTTAATAAAGGACACCAATAGTAGAAACTTGTTTCTCCTGGATTAATCTCTTTAGAACATATATAATGAAAAGACTAACTGTCTCTGATGTTTGGTACATTCATTGTCGACTCTGCTCTGTTGATGGCTTTTTTTTCCTGCCAAGCTGCTTCTGCTTGCAGACACTAATAAGATTAAGCTGCTATCCCCTTATAGATTTGCACTTTCTCACACCACCCTGGTGGCAATACACAAGTCATGAGCTTCTTCCTCAGCTCGCCTGAATGTCTCATGTCATATTCCTGATGTGGCTAACACTATGAGCCTTCTGTCTCTAGGCTGCCGCCTTCTGTTAGATGACTGGTCTCTTAATATTTTGAATTGAATTAAAGCATCTGGCTGATATTACATCTGGGAGTGGTGACTGTCCTGGGGCTGTATGCTACTTCCTGTAACATTATCTGATACGCCAAAAGGATGTACTGTGCTTTGTTTCCAGAAGGAAAAATCTAGCTTACGTAGTGGATTAAAATATCTAACAAAGATTTTGCCATTCACTTTGAGGAAGGTAGACAGGGGATGCATGAAGACACAGTCAAGTGACCTTTTTGTTCCTTTATTCATGTTTTAGTTGCAGTCGGTAGCTTTTTTACCACTTCCACCACTTGGTGAGGTCTTAATTGCCTGAAAGTTGAGGTAGATAGAAATGATTGTGTTGTCACTGATTAATTCAGAATTGCCCTACATATGTATGGAGTGAAGATGCAACTAGAGGACAATGTAATGATTTTTAGGCAAGAGTGTTTCATAACAACTTTGGAGGGGACACACTTGGAGTAAGACTTTTTGGAAGCACAAATATGATTCAATTTACTTCACTTTTTTTGCAAGGTTAAAGAAAAACAGAAATCTCCATTGCTACTTAAATGAGCCACTGATATATGAAATGACATCAATAAAATTTTCGTTACCAAATCAACCATTTGTTTCCAAAAACTCCACTAATTACACCACTTAATTGCGTTTTCAGTTAATTTCAAAATATTGTTGTAGGAAAAAAGTCTGGCTCTTTAGCTACTAAATGCTCCACTATGTTCACCAGCTAGTCCCTAATGTTGTTAGTCTGTCTGTTTGGTGCTGGGCCGGTAGTGTATAGTGGGTTTATTGAATATTTTTTACTGAAAACAGTTGCTTGCTGCTGCTGGAAACAGGATTGATGAGCAGAGGTTGTTTGCAGGTAACAAATCAGGGAGATTAAAGAGGCTAAAATGCACAGGGGAGCTAAATGTAACTGGGTGATAATTCTCCGTGAATTGTTCATTTGAGCCACTGTTAACATAAAACATATTGGTTAGTGCAGCTTTGGGAGAAGTATTGGGAATGAAAACAACATTTCTGAAAGGCTAGTTTTCTTTGTTGGCTATTATCTCTAACAAACTTATAATTCAAGTAACTGCTTAAATAGCAATGGTGGATAAAGCATAACGCACAGTTGCCACAGTTGTTAGATTTTCAGTTTCCTGTTGTCTTATTGTTTATAGCATCATTAATCAGAAGGGCTGGTGGGAAACAGTGTGTGTGTGTGTCTGTGTGTGTGTGTGTGTGTGTGTGTATCTAACCATCCATTGCTGCTGTACTGTAGCTCTATAACCCTTCAAAGAGCACCATGCAGCCACACTACCCTTCCCTGACATAAATAATTCAATCAATAGGTAATGTGGCACAGAGTAGGTGGAGGAGCAGAGACAGGAGATCAAGGAGATGACACAAGGAGACAGGGAGCGAGGATGTGGGTTACATGAATGACCTTAAAGAAATTCATTAGAATTCCCTGTTTACAACACACAGATGGAACAATTTCACATCTATGTTCTACCCAATTACAACATTTGTAAACACACTAAACAGCAAGGCTACATGTGTCACATCTTCATTTACTGTCTTTGTTAGTAGATGAAAACCATTTAAATGCCCTGAATGCGAGAACTAGGATCCACGTGTTTAGTTCAGAATGTGTAGAGTAGAGGAGAATGGGCCTCATCACACCGATTCAAACAATATCAGATCAGTGCGCGTGTGAGGGAGTTGGGGGACGGTAGGATAGTAGAAGATGGATGGAGCTTTTAGGTAATGGAAAACACTCTGAGCTGTGGGACCAATGGTAAACGATTTACAAGCAGCAGAGTGTTTCTCACCCAGGAGGTCTTCGTGTGACTCACCACAACAAAGGCTGATAACGCAAAACTGATGGTGAGGATTGAGTCAGCCAGTGTTCAAAGGCTGTATAAATAAATAACAATTAAAAATATAGTAAAATAATAAGGAATAATAAAATAGTATCTGTTTTTAGCTGTTAAAATCATTGTTTTTCAATGCGATCTGTGTGGATGGTTCCTGATACAGTTTAACATTGATGTTAGGCATTAAAATATATATTTAATATGTATAAATATAAAACATTCATATTCATAAAATTCCTTTATGATCTGATTCTTCCATTGGAATGACCGGAGACGGAAACAAGGCTGCAGCAACAAGCGGAATCAGAATTTCTAACACACAGCTGTAACTTGTATGTACGAGCCACCTACCAGTAGAGGTGCTCCTCGACCATTTTGGTGACAGCTCGGGACACAGCTATCTCCTGCGGGGTGAGATTCTTGTTGAGGTTGACACCCAGCTTCTCCTCCAAAAAGTCTACGATGAACTCGGACCCTGAAACCTGCTCGTGGTTGTACTCCATCCAGGGCATCTTACCCTGCGGCGACAGCTTCCCGTCAAAGTAATTCTGCAGAGGGAAACAGCTCCATGTGAGAAGAGGCAGGATTCTGGAAACATTTTCTGGTCAAAAAGAGCATGTTGTTACACACACACACACACACACACACATTTTTTATGCATTGTTTTCCTGCCGCTGACTTTCAAAATTGTGTATTCTGGTGGTTCCAAACGTTTGGGTCGGGATCCATCAAGGGTCACTCCACTGATTTTGCACACTAAGTTCTGTTTACTCGTCATGAGGAATACTACTCAAACCGTGACAACAGATGTATAATATCTTCTGTGGCTCTGTAAAAGCTTTTTAAAATCTAAAACTGGTTTGAAGTTTGAAAGACGTGGTAATTTACCTGGCAGGAAGAGTGTAATGAAAGATCATAATAGGGTCGCATAGTGGGAATTGTAAGGTCCATTGTTTTGGAGTTTAATGCATACTAGAGCCTTAAAGTTATGGTTGGCTTGGCTTCTGCTGCACAGACTTCGTGTCACACAAGTCAAGCTAACTTTGTGGAAGTGCAATACACAACCACAAGAGAGCATACTTGTAATAATCAATCTTCTTTATGCATTTTGGCACGCCAACACCATGAAAAATCTACTGGCGCACAGAAATAAATGTGTTTTACAAGTCTGGCAGCAACAGCTGTTTCACTTTGTATAAACATTGGAAGAACTGGGTAGCTAGCATGAGCAGCCATGGCTGAAGAGGCAACATGAGACTACCAGCTACAGCAGGTTGTTTGACCAGCTGGTGATCTCTGGGCAGTGTACTGCAGAAACGCCACAGGAAAGAGCACTTCGGAGTCCTCTCCTGTAGCTCTGTGTTTAATAAACTCTGAGACAGTCTGTAGAGTATCACCTGGTAAGGCAGATCCACCATGCGCAGGTATGTCTCTATTTTGAGGCAGAAGGGTGAGAGGCTGGGCACGCCATTCTTTGGCCTGGAGAACTGATGGAGGATGATGGCGTCTTTAGAGTCCAACTCCTGCTCCTTCCTTCACAGAAAGCACAGATGGAGAAAATCTTTAGTACAACAGTGTTGTTTGAACTAGCACAACTTATTTTCTCAGATCATTTTGCAAGGCCTACTGCATAAGATGACCAACTGTGTTTTGTGTTTTTATATATTTAAATGTACCATCCATACTTTGTGGTGTCAAACCAAACATCCATTTATCTGCCACCTTAAATAAAAAAACACTAATGTGACAATAATATCTGCTTTTGAGGAATCATTTGGCTGTTTCTTCAGGGAGGAAATTAAGATATCTTTAACCCTGTTGACTATGTGTACACACCAGCAGGCACAATAGTAAAGAGAGCATTGATCCAAACCTAAAATGCAGCAATGGAATAATCGGATTAAAACTGAGAGTGAACTGTGTTACTACCTGTTTTCTAGGTCAGCCAATGCTGTGAGATAAATTGAATGCAGCATCTAAACAGACAGCAGCACTTGCTGAGAGGAAGAGGTCACACCTGTATTTTATTATAGCACGGTGACAAGCCAGTGAGTCCCTGTGTCCCCGAGCTCTGCTTTATTTTAAACACTCTCAACCACCCACCAACATGCATACTTTTATTTTCAGCAACTCTGGTGGCTTCACTTCAGGCACTAGCTTTGTGCAGGCCTACTTTTTGTTGTCCTGGTTGAACCCCGTGAAATAAAATATGCACTCTGTAAATCTGCAAGTGAATTAAAGGTGGTATTTACGATTTCACTCAATATTTCAGCTTGTCTATTTTGTCATATGTAAATGATTACTTATGTGTACTTGTTTATGTTAAGTTTATTTCACCGAAATGACCGTTGAAAACAAAGGTATCATAGTAACAATATCTGTTTTAGGGTAGATTGTCCTTTCAAATTATTATGTGTGTATATCGTCTGTATCACTTTCACAGTGGAGCTGAGCGGCATTAAGAGCTTCTGTGAGAATTAAAATGATTGACTAAATGAGTCATCACACTGCTCCAGTTTCAAGCTGGACATTTCCCATCGCTCAGCTACAGTCATCCTGTATGCCTGCTGTCTGAACACAAACAATTATAAAATAGTCCTACTGATGTTGGTTTCTCTGTGTTTGCACTTATCATTTGCCGAATAAGATTTACCATCCAGACTGACATAAAATAGGGCATATAAAAAACAAACAAAAAATAATGTAAATTTTTCTGATCCTGATGTTTTCCATAACACATAAACACGACCTGTCAACGCTTTTTTACTTAACTTTTTCACTTAAGCAGCTAAACAGAATTAAGGAGCAATAAAGTTTTGATCTGTAACATACCTGAGGTCCCTGCTTCTGGACTGTTTAGCATGTCTGGCCAAAGCTCTTCAAGCCTGAATAATTTAACATAACTGTACATGGGGCTGGCAGTATGTACTCTATTTTTTGTCAAACATTATTTCATGAATAATACAATCAGTTATTAGGTATAACTAGCTAAACATCATGCAGTCTAATACTGCCTGCATTAACTTTAAGATTACATTTTTGGTAAAACAGTTTTAGGGTTAGACGTATTCCTCATATCTACCCTCAGGGATATAAATGGTTTGGCAAACTGCTACGAACACCTCTCAGTAGGAAACAATACAAATCAACAACACCCCAAACTACAACCTCTAAAATTACTATAAAGTTACATCAACACCTCTCTAAAACACAGCTTTGGACTGTGATGTGATTGTGTACGATCTAACTGAATTCCCTGTTGAGCTGTGCTAAAGGCCGCTGTTTAAAGACACAGTTTGACTTCCCCTGTAATCTTTTAACCCTGATGTACTGTTTGGGGTCCTAGACACAGCTCAGAGAGCATACAACTTTGTTTTATCACTTTATACTTCATGACTTTTCCTACTTTTATGAGGACTGCTTTTAAACATGATTTTGAACCGATGACATGTTTCAGAAGTCGGCTACAGAAACTGACACATTACCTTTGGGACTGTCATATTCTCTATGCATGTGACTGGTGTTGACTGTACTTTTTAGTCTATTTGAATTTCTCTTATTGTTTTATAACAGCCTGTTCATAAGAGGTCTGACAGGGAGTTTGACCTTTCTGGGGTAAATAAATACCAACTGTATATTTATATACATGAACAACAACACTGCACAATACTATACAACAATACATATAGTATACTATATGTCTTTGTCTGTGAACGACTTTTTGGCAAGCAAAATTAACATACGTGTCTTTGCATAGCACATGAGAAAAATTATATATATAGTGGGGAGAACAAGTATTTAACACTTTTTTTTAAATAATTAATTTGCATTTTATTGCATGACATAAGTATTTGATACATCAGAAAAACAGAACTTAATATTTGGTAAAGAAACCTTTGTTTGCAATTACAGAGATCATACATTTCCTGTAGTTCTTGACCAAGTTTGCACACACTGCAGCAGGGATTTTGGCCCACACCTCCATACAGACCTTCTCCAGATCCTTCAGGTTTCGGGGCTGTCGCTGGGCAATACAGACTTTCAGCTCACGCCAAAGATTTTCTATTGGGTTTAGGTCTGGAGACGGGCTAGGCCACTCCAGGACCTTGAGAAGCTTCTTGTGGAGCCACTCCTTAGTTGCCCTGGCTGTGTGTTTCGGGTCGTTGTCATGCTGGAAGACCGAGCCACGACCCATCTTCAAGGCTCTTACTGAGGGAAGGAGGTTGTTGGCCAAGATCTCGCGATACATGGCCCCATCCATCCTCCCCTCAATACGGTGCAGTCGTCAAAGAATGATGTTTCCACCTCCATGCTTCACGGTTGGGATGGTGTCTTGGGGTTGTGCTCATCCTTCTTCCTCCAAACACGGCGAGTGGAGTTTAGACCATAAAGCTCTATTTGTCTCAGACCACATGACCTTCTCCCATTCCTCCTCTGGATCATCCTGATGGTCATTGGCAAACTTCAGACGGGCCTGGACATGCGCTGGCTTGAGCAGGGGGACCTTGAGTGCGTTGCAGCATTTTAATCCATGACGGCGTAGTGTGTTACTAATGGTTTTCTTTGAGACTGTGGTCCCAGCTCTCTTCAGGTCATTGACCAGGTCCTGCCATGTAGTTCCAGGCTGATCCCTCACCTTCCTCATGATCATTGATGCCCCACAAGGTGAGATCTTTCATGGAGCCCCAGACCGAGGGAGATTGACCGTCATCTTGAACTTCTTCCATTTTCTAATAATTGCGCCAACAGTTGTTGCCCTCTCACCAAGCTGCTTGCCTATTGTCCTATAGCCCATCCCAGCCATGTGCAGGTCTACAGTTTTATCCCTGATGTCCTTACACAGCTGGTCTTGGCCATTGTGGAGAGGTTGGAGTCTGTTTGATTGAGTGTGTGGACAGGTGTCTTTTATACAGGTAACGAGTTCAAACAGGTGCAGTTAATACAGGTAATGAGTGGAGAACAGGAGGGCTTCTTAAAGGAGAACTAACAGGTCTGTGAGAGCCCAAATTCTTACTGGTTGGTAGGTGATCAAATACTTACGTCATGCAATAAAATGCAAATTAATTATTTAAAATTGTGATTTTCTGGATATATGTTTTAGATTCCGTCTCTCACAGTTGAAGTGTACCTATGATAAAAATTAGACCTCTTCCTGCTTTGTAAGTAGGAAAACCTGCAAAATCAGCAGTGTATCAAATACTTGTTCTCCCCACTATATATATGTACCAATAATTATCACAAATCGTTATTTCTTTCGAGTTTAAAGGCTGATAATAGTAATAACTGGAAACTGAGTATACCCTCTAAACTGTACAACTGTGCCTGTTGTGTCTCTGTCTACTGCCTTGTGGTGCTGAAAGTGTTCCAAGTCTTGTAGGTCGCTGTCCAAAGTCATATGGTGCTGAAACTATCCCAAATATCTGTGCAGTGTGCAGAAACTCTCCTTTAACGTATTTATCCACTATGCTGTTGTGCCTGGTCTGTCCTCTGCATCGTGCCCTTCTTTTGTGCTAAAATCTCTCTGAAGAGACACTTAAAGAGCTCTCCGCACAACGGGAATCTCTCATAGAGGGGACACGGAGAATAGAAGCTGACTACAGCGGCAGAGCTGCCGCCAGTGCCAACAAACACATCACATGGCAGGAACAGATGATGCCTGCGGGTCCCGCCTCAGCAGCCTGCACGTGAATCAGCAGCAGCGTTTCTGCACGACATGCAAGGTTACACAGATTATCACGGGGGAGGGTGAGTGAAAGCAGAAACTACCAGGCCACTGTTACAGGATGTACTTACTCCCTGGCACTGGCATGCCCGAAAATAATCCCCCATTGACAGACACTCCCTGCGCTGACAATAACCCAGTCCTGGGTTAATCACTTTTACATCGCAAGGACTGATCACATGTCATTCATCCGCCTGGATTTCTTACGATAGCTGTAACTGTATTTGGTGAAATATTCAAGGCAGCAGCTGTGTATATCTGTGTGTTTCTCACGGCAGAGTTCGTAGAAGGGCGGCGTGACTCTGCAGCGCCACAGGAGCGCTTCGTTTAAGACACGCTCGGGTGCCGACGGAGGTGGCACACGAGCGGACGCGTGACTCGTTTTTTATTTATTAGATTTTTTCCCCCCTCCATCTAGTGCCGCGTCCTTGGGAGGAGGAAAACATTGGATGAAACCTCAGCAACCACCGCGAGATCTGCACAGAAAAAACATCCTACGGGAGGACCCCCATATCCACGCAGGGTGTCATAACGGCCCAATCCAATGACACCGACAATAACCGTCAGTCACTGTCAGCAGGTGTGATCACCAATTAGACTGAAGGCTAAATAAAAAGAAGTGAAGGTGAGAAACAGATGAGGCATGCTGCGCGCTCCTACCTGATGGCGAGCAGTTCATGCAGTAGGTAGGCTGCAGCAGCCAGCAGGGCCCCCCCGGTGATGTACAGGGTCTTCTTCCACCAGGAGTCCGAGCCCAGAGCCGACATGATGCCTCCGTAGTCCTGTAAAGGGAAGGCGATGATATAGCCATACAATGACTGCTGCTGCTCGGAGCCACACAGCCCGAGGGGCAGGCTGTGATTCCGCCCGAGTTCAACCACACACGGCCGAGAAGAGGCGAAGCCAGCAGCCCAGTACATCCTCCCTTCCCTCGGTTAGAGCCACCCCGCTTCTTCGCTGCTGTAGTCCCCGCTAGGCTTCATCTAAACGCCCGGCGGGTTGTCTACGGCATGGCGGCGGTGTGGCTAATATTGTTCCAGAAAATCAGGAGGAGTAAACATCTCCAAACACCCTCCCCAGGATGATGCTCAGCACCCAGCTCGCTTTCCTTTGCAGGTTTTAGAGATCATCGTCAAGACACACAAATCCAACAGCTTGGCTTCCGGTTTCAGATTGCCAAAATAAATGTCACTGTTGGGCTGTGCTGCAATGTTAATTTAATGACTTGTACAATGTCCTGTAAACATCTCTTATAATATAGAGATTTCACACTGCTTAATTTTCTGCTAATAATGAAAACTAACTTTTTTAAATCTTCCACTGCTGAACTGGTGAAACTGCTGCAGCACAGGCTGCATCCTCCTCCACTGTAACTGTCAGGACTCACAATTGTCGAGTACATACCAGTTCTTTGTGACATTGATCTGATCAAATTAACTATTATTTTCTTTATCAATTAATCTGCAAATTATTTTACACTTTATTAATCCATCCATCCATCGTCAACCGCTTATCCTGCAGACAGGGTCGCGGGGGCTGGAGCCAATCCCAGCTGACATCGGGCGAAAGGCGGGGTACACCCTGGACAGGTCGCACTTTATTAATATCATGTATAAAATGTCACATGTCACGTCATAATTTCCGATGCAAAAAGTGACACATTTACATTGCCTGGTTTGTCTGACGAGCAGCCCAGAACCCAATGATATTCAGTGTAACATGAGAAAACAGCAGATCATCACATTTGAGAAGCTGGAACCAAAAAAGTCAGTTTGACTTACTGTTTCAGTTCTAAATGTTATTAATGTTCAAACTACTTTTGGTCTGTCCAAATGCCTGAGAAATGCTGCTTGTTTATTCCAACAGGCTATAAATAAACAGTTTCAGAGCTATATTATTAAGCATTTTCCAAAACATCCCACATATTTTTTAGTTTTGTGCATTACACATTTTGTATTTGCTTATTACATTGTTCTATATTTCTGCAGGTCTTTCACACAGTTTTGACTAAGCCTATTCTTGGTCTCTACAAACATTTTGTTATATCTGAGCATTAAAGCTAGATAATACAATTGTTTTTACAAGATAACATTTACATGCATGATTACTACCCAATCAAGGTAACTATGGGGCTGGTGGTTTGAACAAAAATAATGCTATATAGCCTAGATTAATACTTTTTATTTTCGGACAACATCCGGTGTCTAGGGTCAGTGTAAACTCTAGTAACTTGACGCAGCCGGCCTATTGTCTGCTCCAGTGGAGGAGTCACCCCGCCCAGACGAGCCCCCTGCATCTCAGTGAAACCCGTGGCTCACCCTGATGAACACATTGCCTGTTTGTTAACAACCCAAGGTGACAAGTCTGTATGATAGTCATATAAAACATTAAAGTGGTTATGAGGCAGCCTGCGCAACAGATTTCAGTGAGACGTTTCTTCACCTACAGGGAAGCCTATCTGCGGTTGTTGACCTTTTTATTTGTTTACCTTTGGAGAAAGTTTTAAACCGTAAATACTCCTTTAAAATTTACAGAAAAGCACAATTTCAAAGCCCTCTAATCTATTTAGGATATCAGATTGTCATTATTGTTCGTTCAGAGCAGGTCACAGATCAGCTGTTGTAGGTCTACAGGCTGTATGAACAAGTAGTGAATGTAAACATGGAATAATAAGCTACGTGGATGTAATCACAGGCAGAACGGAAAGCATACTCACTCTGGAACAACTTCGGAAGTGTAGGAAGATATTCATCTCGACGGGTAAATCCACCGGGTGATTTTTGAGTCCGTTTGTCGGGCATGCCGAGAGGAGGTTGACCATCGGTGCCGTAACACTCTGATGCCAGTGAAGTCCCGTCTGTTAAGGTCGATAAGAGCTGGCGTGTTTTTGCAGAACAGGATGAACTGCCTTTTAATCTATCGCACGGTGATGTGCTTTAAAGTCCTCACTGCAGCCATGGACACTCCAAGTTAGGTGCGCACTCCCGCGGCTTTAGGTAGCGCGCATTAGAGCAGGAGTGCTCGTTATTGTATTTAGTACACTTTATAACTATAGTGTTGGAATAATAGTCCACTGCAGGCACTATTATAGCTGAGAAAATGTAAAATATGAGTTATGTAATAATAATCACTATTATTAGTATTATTATATACAAATTAATACATTGGTTATCATCTTCTTCAGTCCGTTCCTTCCATGTTTTGCTGGGATCCATGAAACCTCATAGGAACCCATTTAGTCCCCAGAGTGTGTTGCGTTAGCTGCTGTAGCAGAGAAAAATATCTTTGCAAGCACTTACAGCCTGGTTATTGGTCTCTTTAACAACATCATGAAAGCATGACTTATTTCCTGCCACAGGCTTGATTTGTATTATATAATACTTCCACATGAGACCCATTATAATCCCAGAGGATGTGACTGCCCCTGTCCCTGTGTGTGGGCACTCCTCTTCCGAAGCCTTTAACATCTACAAATGCAACCAACACCGACATGATATCCCATTTGTTGTTAGCTGCCAGAGCCAAATAATTCAGACTTTTCACTGTTGTACTTTCACTCTTCACAAATGCTGCAGCTTAAAGGACCATTTTAATAGAGGATTTGGCAAATCACAAAATACTCAACCTAAAATATAAAGCTGATTCAGTACAGTTTTTTACCGAAAATGATAAAAGCGAACATTCTGAAGCTGTGTGGTTCTTTAGCTCTGCTGGTGAATGATATTAGTACAGGATGTACAGTTGATTTGTATCGCTTTTGAAATGCTAAACACTTGGCTGGTTCACAGTAAAGCAAAAGCTGACAGAAAACCAACAGCGTCACACTATTTTATATATATATATATATATATATCTATATATCTATATATATATCTATATATCTATATATATATATATATATATCTATATATCTATAGATATAGATATATATATATATATATATATATATATATATATATATATATATATCTATATCTATATATATATATATAGATATAGATATAGATATATAGTGCAAATCGGCAGCTACAATACATCTCCAATTCTATCTCAAGGCTGTTTGTCCCTTTCATGTAATTAACTTAGTCTTATATGTTGTATCACAGCCGGCCACAGGGAAGTTAGGACTTCACACATCTGAATGGATTTTTGTTTGTTTTTTGACTTGTTCTCCAGTTGTTTGGCTCAGCTGTGTGAGGCAGCAGTATGATCCTCTGGGTGGGAGCTGCTTTCCTCAGCATGGTCTGGCTGGGGATCATCTCTCAGCTTGACAGCATGGAGGGCGTAGTTAATGGCAGTGCTGTCAGTCCAGCTCCAGGCTCCTGATACTGGGTTGTACAGCATTCCCTGGACAGACTGCACTGAGAAACCATCTGATAGAGGATGAAGGGGAGAGAAAACATATGAGCACTACGCATTTAACTGTCCATAAGGAAAAATAATAACCATTACTTTATCCTGATTAAGTAAGAGTAAAAAATACATAAATTGCTTTACATGTCAAGTTTGTGTCTGCTGAACAGATTGTGTAATATTTAAAAGGACCAGTGTGTAAGATTTAGGGGGATACTGGCAGAAACATTTGCAGCAATGGAATATAATGTTCCTAAGTATTTTTTTATTGGTGTATCATCACCTGAAAATAAGATCTGTTTTGTTGACCCTGTCTGTCTACAAAGGGAGTGGGTCCTCTTCCACAGAGTTTCTACAGTAGCCCAGAATGAACAAACTAAACAGTGGCTCTATAGAGGGTTTTGAAACCCTGTAGGTTCTCCTACACATTTGGAACAGGAGGGTGAGGGGAAAGGTTATCAGTTGTTTGCAATCTGCAACCTCACCACTAGATGCCACTAAATCCTACACACTGAACCTTTAAACCAGGCCTCCAGTCCTGCGTGAGGCGTTCACATGACTTATTTTATTCTTACTTTGCACTTGTGCTAATTATTAACACTTAACATACATAATGTGATGTTTGTCATTTTCACGGAAACAACATCCTGTGTGTGTGTGTGCCCATTTTCCTACGTAGGAGATTAGAGGGACTTACTGGACTCCAGGAGGCGTTCCAGTTCCACTGGGCTGATGAACTTTTCCCAGTCGTGCGTCCCTCTGGGAACGATGCGTAGCAGCTGCTCGGCTACAACAATACCCAACGCGTACGACAGTTTGGTTTTATTAATAGTAGTGATGAAGAGTGAGCCGCCTGGCTGCAGAGAAAAGGAACAGCTTTAGAGTGTTAGTATTGAAGATCTACAGTTTTTACTGTAATTATTGCTTCAGAAAACATATTTTACAATGACAACACATCCCTGCAGGTACTATGTGCGCTACCTGAGTCATAAGGGTATTTATAGAATGGATTTAGAGCTTTTGGTGGACAGACTCCCGTGCATTAATCCCGAAATGGTGCCAAACCTCAAGGTTGAACCTCGGTTAAGATAAACTAATTTAACAGGAGGGGAGGTAGAAGGAGAGTGGACAAATTTACTCATCTGTATATATATATATATATATATATATATATATATATATATATATATATATATATATATATATATATATATATATATATATATATATATATATATATATATATATATATATATATACACACACACACACACATACACACAGATGCTATATTTTTAATAGCAAAATGTATAGCAAAACCAAATGTTTTATTGCCATTTGCTTTAGTAATGTAAACATCCGTTTCTCCCTCTCTGTATTTTTCTCTATTTTCAGTTCGATCAGTGGGGTTTTATTGGAATGGGAAAGTCCTGCCTGAACTAAATACAGACATTAATTGAAAATTTTGTTTTCCCTCTCAACTCCTCTGGCCCACTGACCTGGGAGATTAGGATCATCTGGTCTCAGCATTCATGTACAGCTTTGACAAAAGCTTTTGAAGGTTCATTGCAATCCATACACATAAAAACACATGCTAACCTATTCCCAGTGACACATAATAGATGCAAACATAACAAAATGGCCATATGCACATTTGCACACGCTCAGACGAACACACAGACACATATTGTATTGATGCAGAAATATCTGACATGAGACAACAGCTGGAGGAAAACACACCCTATCCCGGGACACACCTTCAGCACAAGGCTACAGCAGAAGGCGAATGTTTCCAGGTCAGCCAGATGTTCCACTACCTCGGACGCTACAACAGCATCGAACTGGCCCGCCCCCTGCTCCTCTTCTGCAGACAGCTCCTCCAGAGTGCAGGCCCGGTAGCAGACCTGAAGGTCCGGGTCATAGGACGAATGCAGCTGGGCTGTGCCGATGCTGTGTTCTACTGGATCTATACCCAACACATTTGCTCCCAGGCGACCCAGGGGCTTGTGAAGAACAAGGAGGGAAGAGATATAGAAAAGTCAGAGCTAGATCGAATGTACGTCAATTTTTTTTATTGCCTTACTAATGCAACACTTCTAAATTTCACTCCACGTTCTGGAAATTTGTCTCTGGCTTCACCACACTATTAAAAACAAGACAACTGATGAGGACAAACAATTAACATTACTTTATTATCATGAGTCGGCTACGTATTCAGCATTCTAACTGCAATTAGACAGAAATACTTGTTGTATACATTTCTGATGGCTCTTTCTTGTCTGCGTCTGCCTGAGGGTAAAAACTCAAAAAGCGGGCACAAAGGGTGGGAAGGATAACTTCTATCTAATCTGAAAAGCTTCGCTCCTTATGTTTAATTCAGATTTCTCACTTGGCTGCATTTGGTGCTTCCCCACAATTGTGCTGGCAATATTTACTATGGTCTGCATTTGCATTTTATTCCTAACAATCGGGTCCCCAGACTACATGACCATGCTGAAAAATAATACTTTCCACCTCATTCTCATACAGTATTTTTAGGGTTTGCTTAATTAAACTCCATAAAAACATGTTACAATGAAAGAAATATGGTACTGAAATAGGATTGTAAATGGAATGGAAATATATACCAGACAATACCAATTTATCAACATTAAATTAATTTTTACATTGGTCAAATTGCCTTAAACAAAAGAGACCATGTTTGAGATGTGTTGTGGCCTCCAATTCAGTCAGTCAAGTGGATAATGCTGCTGTTCCCCAGACCTTATTTCCCATAAACCAAACCATAATACTTTCTGTTACAGAGAGGATGTTGCTACTTGTCACTCTCCCAGTTCAACATTTCACAGAAAAACTCTCAAATCTCAAAGTAAAACTTGCATTTTCCTCTGTGGTTGAAGTAAGCAACATCATCATTTCTGTATACTCCTTAAATTAAAAGTATGAAATTGCCTGCAATTGGTTAAAAATCCAATCCAATCCACTTTATTTATATAGCACAATTTAAAAAACAACAAAGTGCTTTACAGAGATAAATTAAACTATGTTTATGATAATAGAAAACAAAACAAATAACATCAACAATGACAAAGACCACAGCAGCTCTCATGGTGAATTAAAAGCCAGGGAATAAAAATGTGTTTTTAAATGAGATTTAAAAGGTACAGAGGGTGGGCATCACTTTAACGTGAGGAGGTAAGTCATTCCACAGTTTGGGGGCAACTGCTGGTCTTCAGCCTGGTCCTGGGCACCTTCAGCCGCAACTGATCAGCAGACCTCAGTGACCTTGACGGGGTGTAAGTGAGCAGGAGCTCAGAGATGTACTGAGGTGTCAACCCATTAAGTGACTTAAAAACAAACATTAAAATCTTAAAATGTACAGGGAGCCAGTGGAGCGAGGCCAGAATGGGGGGTAATGTGTTTGTGTTTCCGGGTTCCTGTTAAAAGACGAGCAGCTGCATTTTGGACTAACTGTAGGTGTGAAAGGGAGGTTTGGTTCACGCCGATGTAAAGTGCATTACAGTAATCCAAACGGGTTGAGAAAAAAGCATGAATCACATGCTCAAGAAGATCAAAAGATAAAACAGGTTTAAATTTAGATAAAAGCCTCTAATGATAAAAACTGGATTTAACCACAGTGTTTATCAAATCACCCAAATTCAATGACTCTCCAATCCAGAAAAATATTAAAAATAAAAACACCATATTACAGTTTTCTGCACTGAAATTATTATATTGTAGCCTAATATACAGTCATTTTGTGATATGTTAGATATTTAAAATAGCATGTAAACACGTGCAAAAGACCGACCGACTATATACAGATTTGGTGGTGGTTGAGTTTGAGTAAGAGAACAATTCATGAAATTTAAAAGATGTAACCTGTAATGAAAAGTAAATTGATCCACAGTTTAGACTGCTGTTGTGCTGACTGTGTGAAGACATCTAAAAAAGTAGACTCAGTATTGACAAATACGTCACTAACTGTAAAAAAAACCAAACATAACTGCATTTTGGACTGGTAAAAAGCCTGTGTGCTTAAATGTGAGTGACGACGCCCTCTTCTGGACAAAAGCTAAACAAACAGGCCTGCGTGGTGAGCTGCATTTGGTTGCCGAGGGGCTGATCTCCATCGTCCCACAGCCGATCCCTTCTGATGGGAAGGGTTGTAGTGACAAGACACAGAGAGACACAACCACAGCCGCAATCTCAACAGACACTTTTTGGGGTGTTTTTTTGTGTGTGTGTCAGAATATGACAGCCTGTGTGACAGAGCCATATAAATACAGGACCTGATTTTGTCTTCTCAAATCACACAACACAGCTGGTATGTCCTCAGTTCAAGCGAAGGCGCGAGACAGCATCCCTGTCCTGGCTGCCCAGCTATCACCACTAACAAACAGACAACAACTGTAAACGACCGACTGTCCGGTCCACCAAACTAAGACCAGTCAAATCAAAAGAGAACGAGAATTAGGCTGACGTTTAAGTGGTTTTTAGGGCACTGGTATGTATGTGAAAGGACTGGCACTATAATGCACTGAAAGCACAATCTTATACTGCAACAAAAGACTCAATGTGACGTGAAAGGTAGCAATTGAAACTATTGGGAGTGGACAGAGAATGTACAGTATAGGGAGAAAGATATTTTTGTCTGCATCTCAGACACACACACACACACACACACAGGCTTACCTCTGTGAGCAGGCCTCCTCCACAGCCGACATCCAGTATTCGGAGTCCTGAAAGTGGTTTCCCAGGATGATACGCTCCGTGCACACAAAGCAGATTATCCCTGAATAGGACAATGAGCAGTGGGTTCAATTTTAAATTAAAAAATCTCTCCTACACACACATCCTCATCTTACTCTCCAATATACACCCATCATGTTAGGACTGCAAAGGCCTAATTTGAAATTATAAGGATTGAGGGAAGATGTGTGTGTTCATAAACATCTACAGTCTATGCAACGCTGCATAGCATAATGAGGTGTATGGGAGGTTGGAGACCATGACAATTTAGCTTACACCACCCACTGTCAAAGCCACCTCCACTTCATCGTGAGCTAGAGTACGGTGTCAGCCAGCTAACAACCTAAAACCTCCTCTGGCTACATATTCATCCCTACATCGCTCCTGTGCGTCTTCCTTGCTTCACTCACACACACACACACACACACACATACACAGTCTGACGACTGTCCGCCTCAGGCATTACACACGCAGTATAGGCCGAGATCTGGGTATGCATCATCCTCATTAAAGCTCTGCTGGGGTGCAAGGGCATTCGTGCGAACAGCGAAGGAAAGAAGATTAGGTGCTGGCTGACATCCGCAAAACTAGCTCCCAACCCCACCACAACACAGAAAGATAAAAGCTACTTAGCCAGAGTCTGAGTCAAACATCAACTAAGAACTGTTAATGCAGGTGATATTTTAAATTGTGGTTCATGTCCTTACTTCTACATGTCATGCTTTCATTCATGACTGCTGTGGTGATTTCACAACATAGTGCAAAACTATTATAGCAAAAAAGCCAAACAGACTTGCTAGATTCTTACCTTTGAACATAAAATGCTATCCTTTAATATGAAACACTAAATGCTTATTATTAAGCGTACAGACCACTGAAACTATGCAACACGTATGCTATTTTCCTTATTTCGGCATTACCCAGGGGAGCAACACTGCAACACAAATGCTTATGTCTTCACCACCACTGCCATATATGTCAAAGGCAGAAGAGGAAAGAAAAAAGGGTTTTCCCCTTATGATTATTGTCAAAAGGTAAAGGACTTCGTGAGGTGGTGCATGGCCAACCATCTGCAGCTGAACACCTCCAAGACCAAGAAGATGGTGGTGGAAGAAACCACATCTCCAGCCTGTGTCCATCGAAGGGGTCGATGTGAAGGTGGTCAGGACTTACAAATTTCTGGGGCTGCAGCTGGAAGACAAGCTGGACTGGACAGCAAATATGGACACTCTCCACAGGAACGGGCAGAGCCATCTGTAATTCCTGAGAAGGCTGGGGTCCATTCAACATCTGCAAAAAACTGCTGCAGATGTTTTACCAGTCTGTGGTGGCCAGCGTCCTCTTTTATGCTGTAGTTTGTTGGGGAGGAAGCAGCAAAAAGAGAGACTGGACAGACTGGTGAGGAGAGCTGGCTCAGTGGTGGGCTCCGAGCTGGACTCTGGTGACAGTGGCAGGAAGGACCCTGGACATACTACTGTCCATACTGAACAACGCCCACCACTCTCTGCACAACACCTTCATCGGGCAGAGGAGTGTGTTCAGTGGCAGACTGCTGTCCCAGCCCAGCTCCACCAACAGACTTAAAAACTCTTTCATCCCCCTGGTCAGCAGGTCCTAGTCATGGCAGGGAGGACAATAGACAAAAGAACAATTTCTACCCCCATTTGCACTGTTAACTGTTTTGCACTGTTTAATGTGGCTACTGTGTTAGAAGTTATTTTATTTTAATATAGGTTTAATGTATGTATATTTCGCATGCTACTGGATACTTGAATTTCCCTGGGGATAAATGAAGTATCTATCTATTTATCTAAAATGGTGTACTTATTAACAGTCTGTTGCAGAAGAGTCTATTGTAATATTATATCCTTTGCAGCATTCCAGTATTACTGTAGCTTGCTGTATTTTAGATGATTAAACTTGATGTAAACAACTGGCATGGTGAATAAAAACACAAACATTGTGGTTGATATAGAACTGGAAACGAAAACACAGAAGATGAATTTGTCTAAAAGGTGCAGCAGCAACAGTAGCTGTGTTGCTGCTGCGTCTCATTTAGACTCACCCTGAGGGCAGACCTATATCCGGCAAATCAGCCACACTCAGACAAGCACTGGCACTGGATCTGTCATGCTGTCACCATAAACACACATCATCGTCATCCCCACCACCACCACCAACAGGACCACAGAGGGGGAAGGGGAGAGCAACAACGGGCTGGATGGGTAATGTAATGATTATCTTGAGGGGGGCCCCTGCAGCAGATCTTATCAATCAAAACAGCCACAATACATGCACAGATGTAGCATCTGGGCAGTTGAAACGCTATTGGCTGAAGATGTGCTCATGTGTGGACGAATCCTGTCACTTTCAGTTTATGTCACTTCAGCGGATCCCTGATGTGTTCTTTGCTCTCAAATGCCACAGGGCTGGCCCCAGGTTATGTTTTGAAACAGTTGCTTGACGCCTCTGCCAATCAATCCTCTGTGTTGACAGTGTCTTAGGTGTGACGTCTTGGCATTTCAAAATTAGAATGCACATTTAAAGGTATATTATGTACAAACATACACACCGTATAAAAGGCACCCTCAGGTCATTCATGGCATGAAGAGCTGCAAATTCTCCCTGTTCATCCCACCACTTGGTGGCCAGTGACTGGAACCTCCTCACCTCATCCGGGTCCACTGTGGTTTGGGAGGCTGACCGAGCACTGCGTGGCAAAATAGAAAGGACCACATCACTGTACAAGACTAAGCAAAACATTTATTACAATGGCCAATGACACATTTAATCTCGTAAAAATGTCTTGCGACCATTGATTTAAGTCACTAACATGATACTACAAAATCTTCCACTTGGTGCTGAAACGATTAGTCTTGGTCAGATTGGAGAAGAAAATAACTGACAGCAATTCTGATGTTATTTATCAAGCAAAAAAAGTGGGTTTTGCTTCTCAAATAGGCCTATAAGGATTTTCTCAGTTTTCTATCTGTCTATTAAATATGTGGGGTACTGATCTGATAGTCAGACTTAACAATCAGAGATCACCTTCGGCTCTGCGAAATTAATTTTGATGGGCAATCTTCATGATTATCATTTGATAAATTGAAAAAGTAACTGACAGGTCAATTGATAATGAAAACCTCCAATTCTTTCTAACATGCTAACTTACCCACTAAATATCCAATCCCCAAGACAATAGTTCCTTTCAGTGACACTTTGTGACTTTTGTAGGCAACTTGAACACATTTGATGGTTACAAGTTTTACCCACATTTCAAGGTCCCGCTGCACGTCACAGTTTACTGCTGTACCTGATGGGTCGGTGCATGGTGTGTTGCTGGCTCTTCAGACAGGCGCCCCTCTGCAGCCGCAGTGTCCGCTGTTCACACACGGCAGTCCAGCTGAACCCGCTCCGCCCGGCAGCGCTCTGGACCACACCGCAGACAGCCGCCTGTTTGCGGCTGTGCAGCCCTAACACGAGGCGGCCAAACCTATTCGAGTACATGCTGTCATACCACAGCTCAGTAGCTAGCTACTGTACTCTTCACAAGTCAGACTGACGGACAGTGCTCATGTGTTTTCTGCTCGGGTAGAAACAGCACACGCCTTAGTGCCGACTAGTCAAACAAGTGGCTAAACACTGGAGGTACTTTTAAATACTTTAATGGTATGATAAATCCCAAATGGATTTTTTTTTAAATGTTGGGCTTCTGTCATGGATGACTGTTATTTGGATAAATAGATCTGCATTTTCTGTTGCCGCTTAACAACCTACAGATTTATGAACCAAGTCTGACAAGTTTTGTGCTACAGTGGAGGAAAATAACTAAGTACATTTGATTAAGTACCGTACAAATTAGAGGTATTTGTACTTGAGTACTTTCATGCTACTTCTACCCCTCTACATCTCAGAGGGAAATATTGTACTTTTTACTTCACTACATTTACCTGACAGTTTCAGTTACAAGTTACTTTACAAAGATATTTCCACATAAGAGTTTGTAAAAAAACGTATTATAAATTACTATAAAAACAGCTGAAAAAAATAGTTGATAAATATAATTTGCAAGTATTATGATTCTTAAATTGTCAGCAACCCCTGACAAGCTACTAGTAACATCTTTTTTTAACTTTTGATACTTGTGTTTTTTTAAAACCTGTACTTTGACTCAAGTAGAAATTTACTTTTACTGGAGTAATATTTGGAAAGGACACCTCTACTTTTACGTGTACGCGATTTGTTTACTTCATCCACCAGTCGCGCTGTAAGGGCCAAGGTTCCTTACAATCCTTTGGAAATTAATCACCTTTGGGCAGGTTTGAGCCATGGCCTTTCTGTAATTTCTAATTACTTAAATAATCCTCTAATGATAAACAGACTAATCACACTACTGTTACAAACTGTTCAAAGGACAACTCCGCACAACAGCACATCATTTTAGCAGAAAAGCCTTCAGCTGCACTTTTGTGAATGGGATGATGTTTCCAGGCATGTAACCCTTCTGACCCCAATCAAATATCTTGCTCTTCACCACAGTGTAAACCACTGTTAACCTACAGTAAGCAGTAGCAGGTGTCTGTTCTATGCGATTGTGCTGACTTACAAACGTAACATTGTGAATGTGTATAGAAATGCAGTTTGGTGTTAAATGTAGCATTCAGATAAAAGACGGTGAGGCAAGACAAGAACAAACATTTTTATTGGACATTTTACATTAATGTTTGGAAAAAAAAGTTAATCCCGTTCTGGTTTAAAATGGATACAACTTGAGTTTTTAGTGTCCACAGAGTCTTTTTAAGCTTTGCATAATGATACAAGTGAAAACTCCTACCATTCAAAAAGTCTTGTTCTTCAGTCACACTTTAAAAACAACAACATATTTACAAAGATGAGAGAAATGGATGAGGGAGGTTCACCTACACAACTGCCTCTATAATGAGACAAGCCTGTTCAACTCATGGAATTTAAAATGGTAACGTGCACAGATCAGGAGGTTAACTGTGCTCCTCAGCGTCTGCTACGACGGGAGGGGGACGTCGACCTGAAAGAGAGGCGTGGACATAACATTAATACTGCACCAATCACACTTGCCCATGAATACTAAAAATATAAACATGCACAAATAGCCCCCTCCCACAAGACATACTGTACTCCCAGAGTACAAGAAAGGGTACATAGTTTTCATAAAAACTAATGTTCTTCAGACTACAGAAGCAAATCTACCCTGCAGAGCACATTGTAAGGTAAGCAATATCACTTTGAAGCATCATGAAGCATTAAAACCCTTTATTGCAAGACTTTACACAGTTAAGCAGATGTGACTGTATTTGACAGTACATTTTTTAACGTTCAGTCATCAATCTTCTTTTATAAACCTATTATAAATATTTTTGATTAAAATGACTCCAGAGAAATCACAATGAGACATACAATGGAAACATACAGTAGGAAAAAAAGGAGAAAAAAACGAATACTACCTTGATCGCGACTTAGACTTGTGTTTGCGGCTTGCCTTCTTACCAGACTTGTGAGATTTTTCCGTCGACCTTGAGCGACTACGTTTGGATCTTTTAGATTTCTTTTCCTTGCTAACTTCAGGGGTAGGGGATCTACTTGAATCAGAGTCTGAGCGCCTCTTGCTAGCTTTGGCGGAGCCCTTCTTGCTGGCTTTGCTATCCTGCCGGGAGTGCTTGTCACTCTGAGAGTCTGTGTATGAGTCAGTCTCTTTCCTTTTCTTCGATTTGCCATTCTCCTCTGTAACCAAAGAGCTTCCTTTTTCTTTGTCCTTCTCTTTGGACTTTGGCTTTTCTCTCTTTTTATCTGACTCTCTGTCCCTGTCTTTATCCCTCTTTTTCTTGTCTTTCTCGTGGCTATGACTTCTTTCCCTCCTCCTCTCCCTGTCTTTGCTGGAGGCCTTCTGCTTGTGTTTGCTGCTACGACTATGACTGCTGTCTCTGCCATCACGGCTCCTTTTCCTCTCCTTATCCCTTTCTTTCGCCTTTTCTCTGTCTCTGCTGCGACTGCGGCTGTCTCTGGCCCTGGCTCTGCCCCTGTCTCTCTCTCTGGATCTGGATCTACTCCTGCGGCTCCTGCGCTCCCTGGAATCACTGCGGTCTTTCTTGTGGCGGGTTGATCTCTCGGCGCTGCTCCTCCGCCTGTCCCTGCCCTTCTCACTACGATCACTGCGGTGCCTGTGGGAGCTGTGGCTGCGGCTGCGCCGGCGAGCCTTGTGGGAAGAGGAGCGGCTACGCCTCCTCTTCCTTCGTGGGGAGGAGGATTGAGACGAACTGCGGGAAGATGCTGAGGAAGACGAAGATGATGAGGAAGAGCGACGACTGCTGCGGCTGGAGCTGGAGCGGGAGCTGCTGCTGTGACCGTTGGCTGGGGAATCGCTGCCGCCACGCCCTGATCGCTCCTTCCCTCTGCCAGAGTGCTTGCTCTCACTACCCTCCTTCTCACTACGGGACCTACGCCTCTCTACCAAGGGCTCCGCCTCCCTCTCTTTTACTTCCTGTTTGTGTGGATTCTCTGGCTGGCCCTCATCATATTCCCCCTTTTCTCTGCTCAATCTCTCCTTGGCCATCTCTTCTGTAGAAACAAACAAAGAGTCATGTTAAAAAACTTTCACACTTATTATGGTTGGAATATTGAGTGAGATCAAGTCAGCACTAGTTTGGATCTTTTATGAGCATTTGCACTGATTCAAGTCTCAACATCTTCCTTTATTGTTGGAGTATTACTCAATCTTGAAAGGAAACAGAAAAACTCCATTAAGTACATAAGTAAAAAAATATAGACGGTGCTTCAGGGTTGTAGCACAACGTTCGAACATTTTTAGGTGACTTAAGAAAAGTGGTGTGTTCCTAGTCTAAACTTGGATAGTTACGATCTTACCGCGTGCAAGCAGAGTCTCTTGTGCTTGTTTTTCTTGCAGCTGCTGGAACTCCCGCTCTTTGCGGCGGAAGGCGTCCTGCTTCTCCCGAATGCGGTGGCGCAACTCCTCCTCATCGGTGTCGGAGGATTCAGACCCTCGCAGACTGCGTTCATCCTCATCCTCGCTCTCATCGGAACCATAGTCACCAAGCCCACCTGCCACAACAGAGCCCCCACATTGTTGAGTGTTGGAAAGCATAATGATCCATTCTCACAATCAGGTTTCACTTTTGAAAGCCCTCGATCCCAACCCAAGCGTCCCAGTGAAAGGCTCTTAATCCTGTATAATTTAAATTTCACACTGATAAAGCCCTTAAAAACAAAAACATATTGCCATTAAAAGGAAAAACTAATGTGTTCAGGAGCATGCTTCTATCATCAGTGCAAAACAAAACCCAGGTAAGTCACTGAGATTCCACTTCTATTCTAATCAATCTTCCACAATCCAGTCAAAATTAGGTTGTGTATTTGGGGTTTCTGTGCTAACAGCTTTTCAGACGTTCCCACTAGCACCCCTCGATAAATTAAAAATATTTTCCTTCCCTCCCCACCGGTGACAGAAAAAGGGATACTCACTGAGACCAGTCAGAGAAGCCAGTGCACTTGACTGTGCCAGCTGTTTTGCAGGAGCTTTGATTCACATCAACAACAGGAACAACATGTTAAAACACATACTGCCATTTTCTCATAGGAAAGAAAGTCGCTAGAGAAGGGGGTCACAGATAAAGCACTATTCACAAGAGCTGCCATTGGTAGCAAGAGAAAAAAAAACAAATGGAGAAAAGAGAGAGGGTTAAACAAAATTCAGTCACACAATCCAAGTCAAACAGTCGCACAGGAGGGAAAGAACCAATCTGTACTAATGCACAGTCACTTCAATGGAAGAAGTCACTATAGGTGGATGCTGGTCAGAGTCAGTGCTGAGACTTTATTCAGTCATTTCAGTCTTTCAGCAGGACCTTCAATACCATGTACCAGAAGACCAGGTTTCACAGTATCAAATACTGTTTGTGAAAAAACATTGCTCTGCGCCCTCTCCTGATGCATTAGCAGAGAATGGTTGAAAATGCATATCAGACATACTCCCATGTTGCCGCTTAATCACCCAAGTTTACTGGGTATAATTAAGTTTAATTTAAAAAGCTTACAGATATAACGGATTCTCTTCAAATTGAAATATAATGTCTTGGTGGCAAGCATAGATGATGCATAAACTGGAAAAGTTAAGAGCAGACCTCGAGTGGCTTTCCGGTGAGTCTCTTTGGCCACGTGCAGGATCTCTTCATTAGTGACCTCAAGAAGGATCTCTGTCAGAAGTGTTTTTGTGATGATCATCTGAGGACAGAGTGGAGGTTAGGGAAATTAAATCCATTAAAAATAGTCTGAACATTTACAACAGTCACATGCAGAAAAGATCATCTGAATGGTCAAACTGACCAGCTGGAATTCTTTTTCCTCCTCAGTCATTTCAGGTTCACTGTCCTCTGCAGGAGGCGATGGGCTGCGGCCTGGAAATTCTTTCTTCATGGAGCCTTTTTCTACATCGTCATTGTCATCATTTCCCTCATCATCACTGTCCTGAGGCAGACAGAAGCAGGGGATACTATTCAATCAACAAAGCGCACATCTGTTGTCAAGGCA